ATCACAGAGAGAAGAGAGAGAGGGAGAGAGAGGAGGGGGGGGGGGGGGGGGGGGGGGTGGAGGGAGGAGACAGAGTCGGGGGGGGGGGGGGGGGGGGGAGTTATATGGAAATAGAAAAAGGTTTTGTTAAAGACCGCTGAACTCAGTACAAAAGCAAATCATCCTTTTAAAGTTATCCTCACTGTTTACGCACAAATGAACAGACGCATCAGTCTGAGAGGGACACATGAATCACACCTCATTAAATGTGGCTAAAAACAGAGAAAGCTCAGATGATATTCAAATGCATGTGGAATAAAAAATATAAAGTCAAAGCAGTGAGACGGGACAAACACATTACATAAAAAAGGAATATCTTTTCATTCACTGTTTGAATCACAGCTGGTTTCTATATAAGTTTCCACTGTGTAAAGTTTTTGTGCTTTAAAGATTTAGTTTGATTGCTGAGAGGTTTTAGTTGTTTAGTTGATTATTTGTTGTGTTTGCGTCCTCCTGTGTTCTTGTTCTTCAGTGTAGTTTGTCTCTGTTCTTTAGGTTAGTTCCTGTTGTACTTTGGTAGCTTGTTGTCTCAGGTGTCCTCACCTATTTTTTGTTCCCCTTGTGTCTCCCATTCCCAGTCAGTCCTCACTGTATACGTAGTCCTGCCATTCATAGCTGTAGGTTTGCGTTTCCTGTGCTCCCTGTTTGCCTGTTCGTTGTGTTTTTTGGACTCTAATCAATTGGCTTTGTGTTTCATGGCTCCTGCCTCCTGTGTCTACAGTTATTGCACTCCACACACAACTAACGATGGCAGTTTAGGGAAATCAATCCAACAGCTGTTGGAAAAAAAAGTACACGTAAGACTGCAGAATTAATCAGCCCAACAAGCCAAACTTCACAGTTTCAGGACCAGCAGACTGAAAAACAGCTTTTTTCAGTGCAGCATCAGGCTGTTCAGTACTTACAACAGACCAATTACATGCTCACCACTGTGGAATATTCACCTTATGTGCAATAGCCCCAAACCTAAAACACCTCTGTTATGTCCATTTATTCCACTGCCCACCTGTGCCATCATTTGAGCTGGTATCATTAGATTTTTAATCTCATTTATTGTTTTATGTATGATAGAAGAAAATACAGGATATATATTTCTAGGAATTATATTTTATTCTTATTGTATAAATGTTTATCTTTGTATGCACCAAATACAGCAGTGCTTCTAATTTTGATGCATGTATGTTGTTGCTAATAATGACAATAAAACTTAATATATCTTAAACTTTGAGAATCCAGCTGGTCAGGAAAAGCTTACTCGGCTTACTTTATTGTTTCAAACATTACACATGTTCTTTGGTCTTTTTTTTCTTGATATGATTGTTGGTGTTGTTTCTGCATCATTATAATTTACATTACTCCACAGCTATCAGTGTTATTGACCAGTCGTGTTGTTGGGATATCAGGACTGGAAAAACATTAAACATTTAACCTAAACCAAAATCTTAAAACTGTAGATATAACTGTATAATTCAATAATTTACTCAAATGGTATTTAACCTAACTTATGGCTCTTAAAATATTAGTTTCTAACGGTAACTAAGCAGCAAGTAAAGACACAAATAACACTGAGAAAAAAATCAACTATACCTAGAAATAATAAATCAATGCTGACTTTTGTTTTAACACAGGACCACAGCCTCCCAGGTGGAATGAACCCAGTGATCTACCACAACCTGCTCCTCGCACATCACCTCAGCCGACTTCTGAAAGCGGCTTTAAAGTGTTTCTGTCAGAAACGCCTGAAGACAAGCAGCTCCTGCTGCAGTCTTTTCCTTCACAGCTGCAGCGTGATTTGAGAATGTGAGGAACGGGAGGTGCACTGATGCTTCTGCACCAAAATAACAAGAATGTTATATGAGAATGTCACACTGTTTATTATAATAATAATTTATTCATAACAAAATAATATGGAGGCTATGTGCTGTGCACAGCATATTTTAATGCAGTACTTGTGATTCATTCTGTTTCTTTAAATTAGAATTAATTAGTTTGTTGTGTTTAGTTCACTTTACAGTCAGGAACTGAATCTCTGCCACTTCCTCCTGCATCCTTTTCCTTCTTGTTCAGAGAAATGTTCACATTGGCTTTGATTGTAGACATTATTTAATAAATCCTTTTATCAGTTTACATGTGTAATTGTAAAGAGCTGATTTTCTTTAGAAACATCGCTAAGACTATAGTATTCTTGAAACCTGCCTCTCTGTCTAAATACAAAACCTAAATTTAGCTGCATTCAGGAAATATCTGATCAAACTGGGCAAAACCTCAAATGCATCAAACCAGTTTATCAAGAAAAACATTAATTTCCGATTATGAACAACAACAGTCAAAAAACTGATGAATATTGAAATTCACCTGGCTAAGTTTAGAATAATTATTAAACTGTTAACAGAATGTTTGACAGCCTAATTACCTTTGTTTTAGTATAGTAGACATTGACTCATTACCATCACATAAACGTTAGCTTTGCAGTGCTTCATCGTTCCCGCTAGAGGGAGATAAGTGACCGTGTTTCTATTTTACTTTATCCGGGTCTTTCCAACACATTCAGCATTTTTTTTTTAAATCCATCCGTTCATCCGCAAAAAAAGGAAAAGAAAAGCAGAAGGCTAAGACCACACATTTTTTTAGCAGTCATTATCAGTAAAAAGCGATTTTAGCAACACAGTAGCATCCCCTGGCTGCAATATCAGTAATACAGACAATATAAATCAGCTGACTCTGACTTACAAACTGAGGGATACTGTGCACCCATCCACCACTTATACATATGCAACTTATCTGGATTTCCCCACCCAACCCTCCAGCTCTCCTGGCAAACACTGAGGGATTCCCAGCAAGCTGAGCGACAAAATCTCTCCAGTGTATCCTGAGTTTTCCCCGGAGTCTCCTCCCAGGGAGAGATGCCTGAAACACCTCACCTAGGAGATGCCCAGATGTCTACTGGGCTCCTTGCAAACCACCAAGGCCCTCACCCCATGTCTAATGGTGAGCGCAGACATCCTTCAGAAGCAACCCATTTAAAAAAGGTGCACATATACTTAAATTAATGATTAAATAATACTATGTATTCTTTGACAATAAATGATAGATGAATAATCAGCTGACTCTCCAATGCTTTATCATCTCTTTATGGATGATCAGGAGATAGGGGGGGGGGGGTTGCATCAGCATGTGATTGTGAGTAAGTTAGAAACTAATAAATGTGGCTTACAGTACAACGTGCTTTGAGTGCTCAGTTACAACAGAAAAAGGCTATCAGGAGTACCGATCCCTTTACTCCAGCTCCACCATCTTGGACTGCAGCTGCAGTCTTTTGTTCTCTGCAGCCTTGTAGCGGCAGCAGTTCTCCACCTGCTGGAGGGTCTTATTAGTCAGATCTGGAGCAGATTTCAAACTGTCATCAGCAGCTGCAGTTCAAGACACTGGAGATGGAGTTTGTAAAAGAGGCTTGAGACACATGAGTGATCTTTAGAAATGCCACAACAGTTTAACCTGCAGTCAGGGAAACACAAGACGAGGAGGACCGGAGCCAAGCTGGTTACTACAACTTTGAGGAAAAAAAACGGAAACATTAGGAAATCAGTCACATTGTTGTCTCAGGTAGATAATAAAATTAAAGTAAGTCACAAAATATAATATTGCTCTGCCCAAATATAGTCTATTTGTGGGGAACAGTGGACTTGTTAGTCACAAAAGCTTTGTTACACTTCTTGATGGTCCTTTAAGAGTCTAAGTGGGACCATAACTTACAGAGTATCATCATGCTGTGTTCAGTAAGACTTCAAACTAACAATTAAGAGCATGAAGTCATCAGGAAAGCGCTTCCAGCCTCTTCACTTTTCCATGACGCAAAATTTAGATTGTAGCCTGTGATAACTCCAAACACTTACACATAACCATATCAATGCAAACACCAAGATGCAATCCCCAAACCTGCAAGCAACACATGCTTCATCTGTTATATCAGCAGCTCTTTGTCCTCATGCACCACGGGACAATAATCAATGCGATATCGATCACTCACTACTGAAGCCTCACTGTAACATTACGTAACATTACATTAGTCTGATTTGCATCTATTGTTTTCCTTTTGATGAAAGAAGGATCGAGATAATTGTTTTGAAGGAAAACCAAAACACAAAATGACTTTGGTACATTTGATCAGACGATCAGGAGTCACACAACCCTAAACAGGGACATTTGATCACTAACAGGTACACAGCTTATATTACAGGCAGCCTGAACAGCCAATACTGCGTATTTCTAACGTAACCTGATAGGATTCAAGCGTGATTTTTACTTCTACTGTATTCTATTTATTCTGCTCATTGCATTTTTTTCCTGTCGATGACGTGTCTGACTGACGCTAAAGGAGGTGAAGGTGAAGAAAAATGTATTTTTATTTTAGAGGAGGAGGATGAAAAGAAGACTTCCGGTTATTCTCAGCCTTCAACCTAAAAGCGCGTAATGCTTTGAAAATAGAAAAAAACACAATGAAAGTTATTTATTCACAGAAAGTTTTATAATCGTATTTATTATCGGTGATGTGTACGGGTGAGTGTAACGGGGGGAGTGCGGGGATTAAAAAAGCTAAAAATGTTCAAATTTGGGCGAGGAGGAAAAGAAGCCTTAATTTATTTACTGTCTCTTTTTTCACAGCAGAAAACCTCAAATCTGACGAATGTGCCTTAAAGGGTTACACAGCCAACTACTGAAGGTAACAATTGAAATCTTTAGCATGTTTTAGTGCTACCCATTTATCCTTGAGAATACAGATATTTGGTGTAGCGGATTTGAAGCTTTAAATAATATTGTATGCAGTCTGTAACTTCAGTAAGATCATCCGCAAGAGCCCTTTATTCTGAAAATCCATTCGAACGGAAGTTTTGTCCTGCCAGCGGAGTCGCGGAAGGAGGTGATGGAGGAGGGAGGAGAAGGAGGAGGAGGAGGAGGAGGAAGAGGAGGTCTGGTGTGCGCTGAGCAGCAGCAGCAGGTCTGATGATGGTGATGATGATGATGGTGATGATGATGGTGTGAGTCAGACAGCCGAGGATTCAGGCTGCTCACAGCCGCTCCGGAGTAGACAAACCCCGCAAACACACACACACTCACAGGGAACGACGGAGAGGATCCGCGGAGATAAGGTGAGTCCGCAGGCATCACACCCACACCCGCCACTGCGCTGACACTCACACCGGAAAAAAACAAACGCACCTTCAGCCGGGGAGGATGTCGGGCAGCAGCCGAGGAGCAGAGCTCCACGGCCGGTCTGATTTCACCACCCGGCTCGGTGCTGGTTTGACTGTATTCCAACAATCTGTGCGCGCGCGCATAGGTGTGCGCGTTCATATAATGGTTATAGACGCGCGTGCCCGACTACGCGCACGCCCGAGGAGCAGTCTTACTATTGAGTGCAGTCACAGTGATTAACATGATGTGAGGAGGTAATGACACCGAGGAGCTGCAGCTGATTGAGAGAACAAAGCTGCAGGTCAGTGTGTGTGTGTGTGTGTGTGTGTGTGTGTGTGTGTGTCGTGACAGTGTTTTATAGTCGTGAAATGCCATCACGAGCACAAAAAATAGTACCGTAAAAGCTGCTGTAGTGAAGATGCTTTTTGAGTTTTAACTTAAAGAACAGTCACACGGTGACCGAAATGTGGTGCAAGTCTCAGAACAGAATGATCAGCAGCCCAGCCTTATCATACTCAGTGATGGAAGTCATCATCATTGATAAATGGTATTTGAGTCAAGTATACTTTAGTTAGCCACCTTTATAGTTAAGAAATAGTGAACTGCATTTAGTAATGATCAGTATTTAGATAATAACTGGTTTGGAGAACACATCCAGATTGGGTTCATACTCAGAGTGCATATGTAGGCAGGGAGCAGGCAGTAAATACAGTAGCTTGTTTTAGTGTCTTAACAGCTAATGAAATCATAATCAATACTGTTTACCAATGATTGATGTAACCTTTTTGTGTCATTAGTTTGTGCAAGAAAAATGACTTTGTGAACTATATGTTGCATTATGTGTGATGTCATAGCTAACACGAGAAGTCAACAGTTGCACTGAGATGATATTTACACAGATAGTATTTTGATTTTTATTACATGTTAGTTAAACGATTACCAAACTCACTGAGTCCCAGAATGATTTACTGCTCTTTAGTCAAAGCCGTTGCTGTCTTAGGGATAAACTCAAGTTTTCCTTTAGTGTCGGCGCTGTGACGCGCATGTGACGTCATTAGCCATTTCCGGGTCAGATGCTTCTTCAAGTTCCCAAAAGCAAACAGAGGCAGAGGCGCCTCTGAGAGTTAGAAAAGGTCCAAAGTCTGACATAAAATGGTCAGCGTGGCTGTTCATAAAGGTGTTCAAGTGTCCACGGAAAAGGATTTATGAGGTTTAGTGGAGTTTAGATAACTATCTGGTGTCTGGATGACACTATACTAAATACTACATCTACCCTATAACTTTGGATGTGAGCACAGACAGGAAAAAGAAGTGAACAGCATGCACATCTGGTGGCTTAGAGGGTTGAACCAGTCACATATAGAACCATTGCCAAACGAATGCAAACACATTAACACAGGTAAGATAAGCGTTCGGTTCTTCTCATCATTCCTGATCTGGAGAGAGGAATGTCATCATATGGCATCGAAAACTTTAGCCAGAAGAACATTTGGGATGAGCCCATGCACAGCTGGAGGTTAGTTATTACTATGTTGCTGCATGGTTTGGATATTCGCAGTGAAAAATATAATTCGCAGTTTGCAGTTTGGCAGGAGTCACAAAGATACACTTCAGACCTCATTGCTCTCACTTCTCATTCACTTTGAATGAGTTGACGTCACGTGTTTCTGCTCCATGTGGCTGTTAGCCAATGACAGGCTCACCTGTGCAGTTGAAGAAGCTGATTTTCAGTCTGTCGTTTTCAAACAGTTACAGCAACTAGCTGGGATAATGCTAACTGCTGATCAAAGCTTGGCTAACGTGCTCTGTGATAATTAGTTACTCGTGCTGTGATGATTGTGGCGGCATAGACCACATTAAACATGAGGAACACCAAACATTAAAGCAAAGCATAAGAAATCTTAGTTGGCCTGAGACTGATTCTTCTCTGAAGTGTTCGATTGTTTGGCGTTCAGGATGCTGCGTGCTGCCATTAACAGTGCATATAAAAAGCTTTGGAAGTAAGTGAAGTGTCAGCGCTGTGTGCCTGAGATGAGTGTATGAGTATCCATATCAATATAAAAGGACAAATGTAGCTTCCGGGTCTGAAAAATGAAGCCAACACAGATGTGCAGATGTGTTCTTCTTAATGGCCACCAGTGGGCGATGGTTGTGGTCCATGGCAAAAACACAGCGATACACCGACTGTAGTGTTTGAAACTTTTGGCTTTATTTAGTCAATATGATGGATCTTACTCTGGAATGTATCTTACTCTTTTTGTATTTTTGTATTAATAGTCCAGTTATAACATTGATCATCCTCTTACTTATCCTCATATTTAAAAGCCAAAAACAAATTAAAATTAAAAAATAAGTAAGTGGAAATGCAGCGAGGAGCCTCCTTAAGAAATGAGCCAGCTGAGGTGGCTCTGAATGGGATGCCTCTTGTGTGCCTGCTCAGAGACCTCGGGGACAGACCCAGGATACGCTGAAGTGATTATGCCCTGTGGCTGACTTGGGATTGCCTCAGTATCCCTGGAAGACCTGGAGGAGATGGCAGAGGGAGGAAGATCTCTACTTAGACTGCTCCAACCTCCAGCTGGATAAAGAATAGAAAATGGATCGATTAAAGGCTGGAAACAGAAAAGAAACAAACTCACATCTGAGAAGCAGGAGCATTTGGATGCTTTTAGAGGAGAATGTGTGTTTTTTAAAATCCACTTCTTAATCAAATCCTAAAATTTTGATCTGGCAAGCAGACAGGCACAAGTATGTAGTGACACAAGTAGAAGGAAAAAGTACAGTACTGAAATATGAGTTATTTGCATTTTTGTACTCCTCAGTCTGCTGCAAGCTTCCTGTTGGACCGGTATACTCGCTTCCCACATGTTCACGCCTCAAAATCAGATTTTATCTGAAAAGCTTTCAGTTTACGATTCATTCAGATGTTATTCTCCACAAACATCTCAGAGAGTTAACAGCAACTCCAACTCATCTCCAGGAAGAAGTGGCTTTCTGAATCACATTCAGCTCTTTGCTGCAGGATATTAAACACTGAGATTTTCAACAGAGTGTGAATGATGTGAGGAGTTCAGCTGGAGGTGTGAAACTGCAGCAACCTCAGTGTAAGTGTGAGTACTTGGATTTCTCACGATGTGGGGACATGAATGAGTTCATGCAGTCACATTGTGGTGACGCTTCTCTTTTTAGAGAAAAAATAACATTTCTATACCGCCAGTTGTTACATTTTAGAATGAAGACTTCAAGGTTCTGTTAACTCTTCAGGAAGTGACTGAGTGTTACGCGATAAAATGCGTGTGTGAACTTTGTGCTATTTTTTTCAGGTCACACCTTCTTATTTTAGACAGGAGGGAAATTACATAACGTGTTAATAATTTCATGTTTCGGGTTCGTTGTAATCCTTCATTAAATCCTGTGAAGTTTCATTTAAATCACCAAAGCTATAGAAGAAATAGACGAAAACTATTAATAGAATGTCTTATATTAACACACAGTAAGGCACAAAGGGGAAAGGTTTGAATGTGGTAAGAAAAAATGGAAAAACAATAAGAAAGGACCCACAGCTTCCTCCCACAGTCAGACATGGTTGTTCAGTTAACCCATGATTCTAAACATGCTGTAGGTGTGGATGTGAGTGTGAACAGCCCTGTGACGAACTGGCGAGCTGTCCTAGGTGTACCCTGTCTCTTGCCAGGCCCCCACCCACCCGATCCTGAATTGGATAAGAAAAATGGATGGATTTAAGGATGGGGAAAAATAAACAAATACAGAAAAAAGAAAGAAAAAGGACACAATGTGTCACAAGAATCTTAATATATACATTTAATCTCTCTATGTTTGCCAACTCATTCTAAACAGTCAGGAGGTGAGAAACCAAACTTGGCACAGAGTCTGCACACGCCCCCTGTAGGTTCTCATCTATATCAGTTATTATGCTGCTATCGTGTCGTCTTAGCAACCAACTAGCAATAGGCTAAAATGGACTGTTTTTAGCATTTACACACCTATAATAGCTAAAAAAAAAGAATGCTATCATTTTAATTTCACAACACTAACATTCATATAACTCTGCAATATCTAAATAATACATGATATATTATAATATTGTCATGTTGCCTAGCAACCATCTAGCAACAGGCTTGAATTCATGAAAGGTGACACCCTATAGCAGCCAACAGCATGAACAGGCTAAACAATGCTGCTAACAATACTACAAAAAATAGCATTAATACTATTCTAAAATGTTGATGTAATGTTAATATTAATCACTTCATTAAAATTTCTGTAAAAAGTTAAAGTTACTGGGTAAGGTTGTGGTTTACGTTAAAATTCACCCTTTCAAACCAGTAACTCAGCTTGTTTAAAATTTATGGAGTGAAACTAACAGACTGATGTCACACTGTGTTCACATTGTGCCTGACTGAGCGATGCAGGTGGCTTTGATAAAACTGCATTTTTTATACGGCCTGATACAAACTCAACTTTAGCTCGACACAATAAAAAGAGGGAGGCTCCACCTTGAGTCTTTTTTCAACTCTTACATTTTGAAAGTTAAATATTTATTGAGTTAAATTCTTAAAGAAGCAGGCCACTAAAGCAGCAAAGTAATATTTCAGAAATCCTGAGGCATCTGTAGAAACTTCCTAGCTGGATGATATGCTGGCTGGATATAAGCTCCTCAGTGCACCCGAGGGCATCCTGATCAACCACCTCAGCGACTTCCTTTTTAGTGGCTCTAGGCTGAGCAAAATAACAGTTAGGAGCATGAAGTGGGCAAGTCCCAGTCTAAACTTAGCTCAAAGGCAGTTCAATGAAAATCTCTATCATTTTGAGTAAAGAGTGTTTTTTTCCTCATACCTTAGAGGTAGAGCTGGGCGATATGAGATTTTTTCATATCACGATATGTTTTTTTCATTTCAGGCGATAACGATATCTATCACGATATAAGCCAAATAACTATATTTGTAAGATTTAAATGTGCCATTGCTCACAAGTAAAATGTGAAATAATCAGCAGCTTGTTTTTATTTAAATATTTATTTCCCATAATAAGTTCAACAGGGTAGATGTACTTAAGGAACATGAGACTTTTTCAGATAAATAAAGGAAAATATTGCAAACTACACAAAAGGCAGCCGCTAAAGCGTTTAAGTTTCAAAATAGAACAAACGAAACAGACTAAATTGTCAATTCCACTTAGAAACAAAATATTAATTCTAAAAATAAATCTTAGTTTGTTTTACAGAAGAACAGACAAAACTGACTAACTTTTGTCAATATCAAATAAACTGAGAACTAAAAGGAAATTCTCAATCTCTCCTTGTTGTATAGCTGAGCTTTTCAAACAGTTTTAACAGTTACTTTAGTCTGACAAAAGCCGAATGACGAATTAGCGCTTCCAGTCAGAGACTGAGGCTACGTCCACACGTACACGGGTATTTTTGAAAACGGAGATTTTCCGTTTTCGTTTTAAAAAATAATCCCGTCCACACATAAAGGCAGAAATGAAGGAAAACGCTGCTATGAACACGCCAAAGCAGCAGGTGGCGCTAGATTCCTAACCGTGCAGAAATGTTGGCCAATCAGAAGTCTAGAAGCCTCGGTGGGAAAAAGTAAACAAAGCTGGGGCATAGAAGCAGAACCGAGTCGTATGTGTGGAGGGACAGTAACTGTGTGTATATGTAAGCATTTAAACACTGCAGAGAGTAGAATTAACAGTATTGTAGAAATGCATTTCACCGAAACAATAACGTGGCGCACAGTGTGACGCATGCACCAGTTTATTGTATTTCCAGACTTGCTTTCGGCACAATTTACAGTGCACGCTACTCTGTTTTTAGTCAGACTTGAAATAGCCGAAATACCTTCACCCTACGGAGCTTCTATGGCTCTTCCGTTCGACAATCTCTCCGGCGTTGGAACCATCATCTGTTTTCTCTTCAGTCACGCTCGGTTGATTTCTCTAGTCGGCACACTCATTTCCTCCATTACCCGCTGGCTGCTTCCCAAACAAACACACGTGCGGCTTGGCACTTGTGCTGTACCTAACAAGTCACGCGACGTGACGCTGCGGCTGTGATTGGTTCGGCTCTGCGCTACTTAATTTGGATTGGCTGACCTTTTTTTATTTTTTATTTTTTTTTATTTTAAGAGGACAAGAGCTGCGAGGTCTATCGCGATAGCTTAATTTCTCTATCGAGTAAAAGTTATATCGCGATACATATCGTTATCGTTCTATCGCCCAGCTCTACTTAGAGGGTTACCTCAGCAGCTGGAGCTTGGAGTGAGAAAGAATCGACTTTTTCTGCTGGAGAACAATGGCCTTAGACTGAAAGAGCTGACTTTCATCAGTGCATGCTGTCATTTGTGTTCATCTGCAAAAACGGACGCACCTCAACTTCGCCCTGAGATCCTCTCCATGACTATGATAAAACAGGATGACGGATTATGAACGAGGCTGTGGATAGAGTTTTGTGTTTATTGTGTGTTGGCCCATCAGAGGGCGTAATCCACCAAATAACTTGACTTTTGCCTGTTATAGAAGATTTTTCTTTATCAGTCTGATCGATTGGTGAGCTGAGCAGAGTGGAATAATCTTTTTAAGCACAACTTATACGATAAAAATAATTTTTATCGTTCTTGCTTCGTCTCCATTTAAAGCAGGCCTGCACTGTCAGTAGCAATGACAGTAATAATTAGAATAATGAAATTCATATCCTGGTCTCACATTGGTCTGTTTTTTTTAGATTCTGTGTCTGCAGCTCTGATGCTGCTGCTTTAGTTGGAGGTGTTTTCCCTGCTGCCTGCCTCCGCGCAGGAAGTGACATCAAGTGATGTGGGCAGGCAGGTTACCTTGACAACAGCCCTGCTGGTGCCGATGACATGTTTGCTCTCCTCTCTCAGTGCCGTCACCACGGCGACTGGAAACACACTCTCTCTCTTTATCACACACTCTTTATCACACACACACACACACACACACACACACACACACACACACACACACACAGTACATTGAGATGCTGCCATGGTTATATCCAGAAGCACAATGGAAGCTATCATGAGGCAGGTGTATGTGTGATGCTCGTCATGCTGATGGATTAACGAGGTGGTGATTGGCTGGTGGTCTGAATCTGTGGCAGAGATAAGGAGGTGGTGACGTTGGTGAGGAGGAGAAGGAGCTCCCTTTAGACTCGCTGTTGTCTTTCCTTCTCTGGGGTTTGTTTTCAGCTCTCCTCTTTAACGACATGGAAAAGTGTCATTTGTGCACGTTAGTCATTCTGAAGGGGTGGAGGGAGGCTCACAGCCTGGAAATCCTGAAATTACTTAAATTTGCCTGTATGTATTTGTACTGTTTCAAGTGATTAAACCAATAATGAAAGTAAGTACTAAAGAAAAACCAAAAAGAAAAATTCTACATTTTTCAGTCATTTCAATGATTTTTCAATAATTTAAAGTCCGGTCATTATACCTGATCATTTTTAGAGGAGTGTTTTTTCTTTGTGAACTTGCGTAAAAGTTACTTTTGAATTATTTAGACACAAAAAGGGACCTAACTTAAGGGATGACAACTTAGCAAAGGACCAGTTTTAATTGTTGGTTATTACCAGCATGTCACAAAAACACATCATTTGTTTCAAATTCTTCAGTTAGAAAGGAATACAATAGAGTAGAATAGCCCTTTATTGTCACTGCATATATACAACGAAAGTGTTGAATCTCTAAATGCAAAAGGTAACACAAATAGATGTAAGATAGTAGTTTTGCACCAGCAAAGTGATTCCGAGGGCTTTTAGCTAAAACTTGCCATGTCTTGGCATTTTTTGTCAGTCTTGTGTTGTGAACAAAAATAGTTGAAAATTGAACAAAATTGGCCTGAAAAACTATCTACATCCGATGAACAGCATCCGAAAGTCCTGTCCTTAAGAAATAGGAAAAAAGCAGCTAAGACCTGACACAGGACATGACAGACGCATCTGACCCTCGATCCATCGACTGTTCGCCAAAGATTCATCAGATATGGTCTCTGTGGAAGTCTGGCTGTCAACGAGACATCGTTAAAGAGGTGAAACAGGAAGAAAAGGCCGAGGTATACCAAATTACACAAGACTGGACTGAAAACAAGTTGTATAGAGTGATGAATCTAAATTGAATTCATTGGCCATCAAATAACTGTCGACAGGCACGTGTAAAACTCGGTGTGGGTGAGCTGTAAGGTGTAAAGCTTTAACAAAACTAAATAAAGTGTTCTTATAAAGGTGAGATGAGCTACACGAGGCACAAGCAAAGCTGGGCTTTTTACTATCTTGTACCTTAGGTGGACCTGGAAGGTGCTCTGCTACCTTCATGGACACCTAGGGAAACAGAGTAGTTGTCCACACTTCACTTTTAGCCCCACACTTCAAATGAATGCAATGTTTAAGGTGATATAATGTGCAGGACATCGTTTTGACCCTTTCATTTTGATCCAGTCGTATTAAATAATCCAGCTTATGTTCTTGTCCTGTCTTCTTTAGCTTACAGATCGTAGAGCCAGAGAAGCAGGTGAACTGTAGTTCCCAGAATGCCAGAGCAGAGTAATGACTACCGGGTGGTGGTGTTCGGTGCCGGCGGGGTGGGGAAGAGCTCGCTGGTGCTTCGGTTCGTGAAAGGCACCTTCAGAGACACCTACATCCCCACAGTCGAGGACACCTACAGACAGGTGGGGCTCTTGAGCATCTTCACGCATGATCAGAAAGTTTGGCTGTAAAAGTTTCTAATACCATGAATGAAATGTGCATACATTTAAGGTTTCTGCAATTACTAACACAGAGTGAGCCCCAACCATGCCATAGCTTTGCCAAACATCACCCACATCGTTTAGTGTTATTTGGGCTCTATTCAGTCTTCACAGCAAACTATTAAGTGCACCAGGTCTTGACCAAAATCGGCTCAAGTTTGATGTAGAATATTTTTGCTGTATTTGGCTTAGAACCATTTTATGAATTATCATAAGGCCATCAGCACTGATTCATTGCTATCTGGGGCATCTCAGATAAGAAGCAGAAAAAGCTGGTTGGCTGAAGCAGTTAAAAAGAAACTGACACTTGCGTCTGGATAATGTTTCCTTCCACACTGCAGTAACAGAAATGTGTAAACGAAACCCTCCTATCAAATCTGCTGTCACTGTTAATACCTGACATCAGTGCCTGTCATCCCTGCAGGTGATCAGCTGTGATAAGAGCGTCTGCACGCTGGAGATTACTGACACAACAGGAAGTCACCAGTTTCCCGCCATGCAGCGTCTGTCTATCTCCAGAGGCCATGCCTTCATCCTAGTGTACTCCATCACCAGCCGCCAGTCACTGGAGGAGCTCAAACCCATCTATCAACAGGTCACACTCTGCAGATTAATTGCACCACTGCACATTAAACTCACAAAAATCTTTCAGAAACTTTGGTTTTCCAACGCCATTGTTATCACAGATGTTGAAGCACACACCAAACACACACCTCCACAGATGATACCGTCAGTCTGGTGGTGCAGAAACAAAGTGAAAAATGCCTCAGTGATATGCAGTTCACTGCAGAAGTCATGCTCAGGACTGACAGCTTCATCTTTGATGACCTAATGTTTAGTCCTAACTGATGTTATCTCATGCCCATTTAGGTTTTGGCCATTAAAGGCAGCGTGGAATCCATTCCCATCATGCTTGTGGGCAACAAAAGCGATGAAACGGCTCAGCGTGAGGTGGAGATGAAGGAAGGTGAGGCTCAGGCGGCTGCCTGGAAGTGTGCCTTCATGGAGACGTCGGCCAAGACAAACACCAACGTCAAGGAACTGTTCCAGGAGTTGCTGGCCCTAGAGAAGAAGCGGGACATGAGCCTGAGCATCGACGGGAAACGGTCGGGAAAACAGAAACGAGCTGACAAGCTGAAGGGAAAGTGCAGTGTCATGTAGAGCAGCTGGCAGCTGCAGAGGACTCACTGCAAAGGACTCACAGACTTTAGAGTCTGTCTGAATGCTAGAGCCCAAATGAACAAAATGACTAATAACTTAAAATGGAATCTGGAATATTTGAATATTTATATCAAGACCTCGGGCTCCTGCTACACCTGACATGGATTGTGTTTATGGTCTAAACTATTTGTAAAAAAAGCAAACAAAAAAACTTTTTACACACTCAACTAACTCCTGCCACTATTAACAATTACATGAAAGAGTAAGGAGTACTTCACTAATGTCATTGTAAATGTTGAGCCAAAAATCAGATTATGGTTAAGCTCGAGTTTGTTCCAGCAGTTCCTACAGGACCAACCCAACTGGTCCTGACAGCTTTATTTTAGAGATGATCTTATTTTCAGCTCATTATGTTTCTGGGACTCGACAACATTAGACTTGCATGATTCTTAGTTCACAGAAACTCATTGTATACTGGCCCTTTATAGAGCCCCTCAGTTCTGTCTAAAACCAGCTCTCTCCTCCATGGTTTGTAAAGGTCCCTTTCTCTCCGAGTCCTTTGTGTGAATTGGCCCACTGTTGGAAGCCTGCCGAGGGGCAGCATGCAATGCTTGTGTGCAGATGACTGTGTAAACAAAAAGAAAACAGTTAAAACCCAAACACACACACAAACAACAACCTAGGGTGGACTTAAAGGACTATAGCCTTCACAGGGTCACCTGTGCAGCCAGGTGAGCTATAGTGGTACCCTGGATATCAATTAATTTAACATGACCTCCTACAACACAAGATGGTACATCTCAAGGAGTTTATCCCAATAAATACATGTTCAAATGTTTATGTAACAAAGTAAGAAAAAGCAGAGTAGTTCCTGTGTAAGATTTTATTTTTCGGCATGCTGCTTAAAATAGTGGAAATAAAACCAGCGCAGCAGGCTTCACACTTAAGCTAAGTTTAAGTACACAACCAGAAAGCACTAGTTTTTAAAATCTAACAGTTATTAACTATTAACCATTAGCTCACAAGAATGATGAAACTCTTTTGGCCTGCTTTCACTTGTCCCCCGTTGGCATTCTAGCAACATGCAATGATGAGCAAGAAACCCAGGAACTGGATGGAACATGTTAGCATGCTAAATCTGATGTTGCAGAATATGAACTCAGTGATACTACATTTACTTTAGTCATCTGTATGACATGCTCAACACTAGTATTTGGGGCTGTCAGGTTTGCTAAAACATGCTAGCATGCTAATATATTAGGCATTCCCAAAAAGAACATTTGTGGCTGCTTGCTGCCCCCTAGTGGCAGAGGGGAGCATGGTTTACGTTTTTGAAATCCTGTGGCACTCTTGATTGGCTGCCTCAGGACTATTCATCACATATATACCAGACATTTATTCTCCGTCCTGCAGATAGGGCAGAAAAATAATTAAATAATCCTTTATCTAAGAAGTCTAACTGCTTTTCTATTGTGATTCCCTCCTTGGTGGCCGTGGCTGTTTTTTTTATCTTGGAGCTCAGCTTTCTGCTGTGATTAGATCTTCAACATGCAAGCTAACAGTGTTTAGCCTCTGAACTCTCAGCTGACGGACTGCAGTGGAAACATCAGATTTCACCTTAACTCAGCAGGAAACTACAAAACGGCTTCAGTGATTTTCCAACTGGCCTTTTGCACTGTTTTCATTTTCATCAAACACACAGAAAACAAAACATTGTTAGCATTAGTGGGGAGGTGCAGGGAAGCATGCAGCTACTGTATAAGTGATTTAAAGGAACAATCCAAAATATCTGGAAGCACCTTTTGTAGTGGTTCATCTCTGCGTGTCCAACACAGAGATGGAGCCAGGACGTGTTTAGTCTAGCTTAGCACAAGGACTGGAAGCAGCAGGGGAAACTTCCAGCAAACCTAAGATAATGAACTGTGCTGTCTTATGCTTATGCAATGCTAACTCACTATCTGTTAGTGTTGATAGTTTTTAGATGCTTTTAATTAATTAATTCCAAAACTACTTTTGTGGTTCTTAAAAGATCAGTTATTTTCACACACCAGGGTCAGGACAGAGAGGCAAACATTATTAAAACAGGTCCACTCTGCTAGTTTCTAGCTCTGTATTTTTATTGTGAGCCTCAGTTTCACAGTGATCGTTATTGATCACAGGCCTTGGTGCCATTCCTCAGTTAATCGTCCGTCTCAAATAAGCTGTTTTAGCTCCTTCCCCTGCAATGTAGCTTTCCTCTGATTGGCTGACCCTGACTTTGGATGCTTTTAAATAATTAATATACGTTACTATTAAAATGAAAAGGAAACAGTCATTTCTCTACCAAGGACAGGGTTACATCTTTTACCATCTTACAGTGCAGGATTTTCCCAGGTCTTTTTAGACAGTACTCACGGCCACTGATCAGTGGTCATGACAGTTTACATATTAATAAAAAGAAACTGACCTCAAAGCTCAGGTTAGTCAGTAATGCTAATGTTGGTCATTATTCAAATAGGAAACCTGCGGCTTAGAAGACCATAAGACTCAAATATTATTTTCAATGTGGCAGAAACTGTGAAACAGTTGTCTGTGCATCTCTGAGTGCATCAAACAGGAGCTTTGCATAAATATGTGCACGTAGCTGCACTGCCTGAGCTTGTGAGATGCATCTCTGCCGTCATTTCGCTCCGGGGTCTGACACAGAGATCTGACTCACTCCTATATGTAATATCAAATGTTTGTGCTGACTTTTGATATTCCCATGAAAGTAATGTCACATCTAAGGAACAAGAAGTCCTGTTCCAAAGCTGAGAATGTGTTTTACAAAATTTACCAGCGTGTTAAAGCTAAAATATCACAGTAACTAATTCTTCTTTTAAGCTGACTTCATGTTAACTGACTGTCCTGAAAAAGAATCAAACTAAGCAAACATTTTATTTAAAATAACCAGAAACATGTGAGACGTGTCTCGATCAGCCATGTCACTGGACCTGTTAGAGTGTACCAAACTCCAAAATTTGCATGTCACACCCCTTTTGCCACTCAGATTTTCATATTTTCACCTGAGTTTCTTACTCAAGGTGCTTTTTACATTATTTTATGGTTCAGAATCCAACACACAGATGCAGGAGACAGAGCCACAGGTCGTCTGAGTAAATCCTGAACCACCGTAAACAACATTATTTTTGAGTGTGTCGTAGAGGAGCTTTGTGTAACCAGTGAGAACTATAAGAGTTCGCTTCAGGAGATGTGACTGAAACAGTATTACTGGCACTACTATACTGACAGCCTTTTATCAAATGAATATAAAAAACCCGATGGGTTCAGACTTCTTCCACATGGTTTATAATTTTACACTGACATCATTCAGAAAGCATGTGTAGTTTACTAGTTTAGCCCCCATCGTGGGATTTTGAGTGATTGCTTTTATTATTATAAAAATACTATTAATTTAAGAATGAATATTTGAAGTTTGATACTTGTATCCACCTGTGAAAGAAGTTTTATGCTGCATGATTGTAACATAGTTCCAATATTGATTTTAGACACTATACTTTGGAACTCTTATGGTTACTCGTAATAAACATTTTAGGATGAAAACTTTTAAAACCACACGTTAAACGTATCCAAGTAGCTTTTCTAATAATTACAGTTTTTGCCCCATAACAAATCATCCTGTTTAAAAATCACATCTCTCTGAACATTATGGCAGTCATACTGGCGCATCATTGCAATGACCAGCAGTGACCAGTACAACATCTCTTTGTACATATTTGTGCTGTTCGTGCTACTTTAAACAAACACTATTTTTGCCTGAACAAAATCCAGGCTGACGTAGTGAAAGCAGGTGTAGCTGTGTACAAATGAAACTATAGCAGGACATTAGAGACACAGCTCGGTGGAGCTATGCTAATTCCTTTCATGTATTTCTGTGTTCATACTAGCTCCCAAACAGTGCGGATTATTAACACTGAGCAGGGCAGGGAACATGAAAACGCTGGTGTTGGACTGATTTTATGGGAATCCTCGTTTCCCCACTTTGCTGATCCACAGTGGGAGCTAAACTGGAATTTTGTGTACCTTGTGCTAAGCTAGCCTTTATATTTAATACTCTTGAAGACCTCAGATATGTATTTTCTCATCACACCAACAGGATTTCTAAATGTTGGGCTGTTCCTTTACCTGGCATGAAAGCTGACCGTGCTACATTCAAAATGCCTTTCCTTCCATTTTACTTGACAATTTATAATCTGAAAATAAGTGAGCTTAAAAACTTTACGAAGCACAAACACTAGAACACGTTAGACGAGCTCATGTTATGTACACGTCAGCTTTGTATTTAATTTCACTGTATAAAGCTTTTCATCATGCTGTGTTCTTGAACTGTCACCATGCCTCACTGTTAGCTGTGTTCAGCTTTAGCAATATCAGAAACGGCTGCACTTTGTACGTGGGCAGTAGAAATAACTCTCAGCAGTTTATTGATGCCAATAAATTCTTTTATCAGCAAATTCACGATCTTATCATTCCACTACTGCATGTACATGTTCAGGTTAACTGACTTAACCTGAACGCAAGATGCTTTCATTTGTATTTCCTCAACATGAATGACACTCACAAACTATGAATGAATAAAAAGGATATATATTGCACTCCAAAGAATCCGGAATACAGATTATTTTTTAGTGGTAAAGATGGGAGTAGTCCCTCCCCCCGCTCCCACAGAGCCAATAAAAGAGCTGAACAGAAAACATCTGATACAAATTTGACATTGACAGCAGTTTGTGTGGTGGCACGGATCTGATTGTTATCATAGTGAAGGTATAGATACGTGTATATACTAAAACAGCTGTATTGATCTACTTTACTGACCTGGGCTTAAGCTCCACTTTATAATCCTGCAGCATTGTTCTGTTAATGTGCTACCTACAAAATAGCTCTTAAAGTCGCAACATGGAAATACAAATGCCATATGACGGCTGTAGCTCAGGTGGTAGAGCAGGTCAACTACCTAAAGGTTGGTAGTTCAATCCTAGTCTGCTCTAGTCTGCATGCCAGATATCCTTGGGCAAAATACGAACCCCAGGCTGGTCGTGTGAATGTGTATGAATGTTAGTTAGATAGCACTAAAAACTTGTGATTGGGTGAATGAATGAGTTGTGCAAAGCGCTTTGAGTGCTCAGAGTACCAAAGTGCTGTATGAGAACCAGTCCTTATGTTTAGTTTCTTGCCAACAATGTGAGCATTAGTTATATTTTCTTACCTATGCTATATCTCAAATTGCATCCATCAGTAAAAATGAGTCAGTGGTTTGTACACTTGTACTTGCATGAATTTTAAAGAGTGTTGTGCAGTTTTTGGAAATAAACTATAATGAAATTTTTTTTTCTGCAGTAAAGACAACAACACAACAGTACCCCATACATGTAATGTCAGTACCTTAGAAAAAAAGAATAAAGGGGAAAAAAGCCATCACTGGCATCAGTGCCGATGATGGCCTAACGATTGAAGACTGATTAGAAACTAGTTGCTGATTGGTTATGATCACTGAGAAGTGTGAAAAGTGTACGACGAAATACTTAAAACAGTCACATTTAACCGTTTACTTCCGGTCTTCGGTGCCTTTCAAGGACCCAGTCTAAGCAGACCAGGTAGGCCAAGTCCTGTGAAGGATGGATTTTGACCCAGAGCCCACACAGCAACACAGGGACAATATGCTTGTATTTAAGTTGTGTAAACTGAAAAATATTCAAGGCTTCAGGGACTCTTCTTGTTGTTTCTCTTCTCTCTATGCAAACACCAGTTGTTTAGCAACAGTGAAGCTTTTACCCCAACAAAATAATTTGCTGCCATCTGGTGGTCGGCATCTATATATATTATCTATCTATCTATCTATCTATCTATCTATCTATCTATCTATCTATCTATCTATCTATCTATCTATCTATCTATCTATCTATCTAACTAATGAATGACATTTAAATTGGCACATCAAAGGGTCTCATTGACAGCACAGAGATAAATCAGATGTCTTACTCGTGAGGAGCAAACTCAACCTAATTTAACAGTTGAAAAGGGTCAACTTTCTTTATACCGTGACTTTATGTGCTACAGCTTGAGACCCATTGAGTCTGGGTTATCTTGTGAGGCACTTCTGTGTAACCGGAAATCCAGAGAGTGTGAATGTCAGATTATATTAGAGACCTTCTTCGTCCTCCGTAACTCCATTGAATAAACTATTATTATGCACTTTTTGTCCAGAAGCTGCTGTGCAAGCAGTTGACTCAGAGAACATTTGTTTGTCAGCACACACTGTGCGGTACAAGATATGTGGGTTTGTGTGAGTAACTGGTCATTTGTTTGTGCAAACTGCTTGGTGGATTTCCCCTGCAGCCACACAACACAGTCTAGTTGTACCTGAATTTTGTCTTTTATTTTTTTTAATCTAAATAAATAAATAAAGTAGTAAAGTCTGCTTTACTACTGTTTACCTGTTTTAACTTGGACCCCTCTGAAATGCACTTCAAGACAATCAAATTAAGAATAAACAGTCACTGTAACAGCACGGTGGCACCGTGGTTAGCACTGTTACCGCACAGCATGAAGGTCCTGAGTTTGATTCCGGGGTCTTTCTGTGTGGAGTTTGCATGAATCGAGCAAAGCCGCCACTCCCGCACTAACTGTAACCCAGTCAATTCTTGTTATGCTGTTTTGTGGATCACAAGGTTTAAAACTACTTATAAACACACACACACACACACACAAAGTAACTCCACCACAGCGCCTATTTCGGGTCACTTTTGCCGGTCCAAGCCCGGATAAAGGAGCAGGGTTGGAGTTGTGACATTAAAAAAACAATGATTGCTAAAAGAAATTTAATTTGTAGTTCTAAATAAATTCTAACTGCATTTAAGACGTGCTTTGCTCACTTTATGTCTCGTTCCACGTTGTTATTTCTCTCTTCAACAAGGTAGGTTACAATTACATTAGCATGACCAATTATGCAAATTAGGCGATGACTTTTAGAACAGCCAATAGCAATTTTCCTTACTGAGGAGTTGGCAACACTGCCCTGAGAAGGATAAGCAGAAGCGAATGGACAGTCTCTGTAACCAAGAAGCATTTATTCACCTCTTCAAAATTTTATTATAGGCCAACTATAAATAAAAATGTATTTGCTTTATTTTAGTTTTGTGATATGAGTTCTTTTACACAATGCTTTAATTTCTCTTATTTATTCATTATTACATGTTAGTCTTTGTTTTGTTTCTGTTTCTTTTGTCTTGGTTACATAACAGTCATGGCTAAGCTAACATAGCTAAGCTAAGTCATGGCTAAGCTACGCTGTGAGAGGGTCTGTTTAAAAGTAAAAAGCACAACATCTGATGGGACAGCCAAGGCACTGCCTGTGTTAAAAGTACACAGTGAGCTTTTCTTCACCAAAAATTCTCATCTTTTAAACCTGAAAACACAGTGAATATAAATTAAAATCATAAAATGACAAAAACACAAGGGACATAAACCCATCTTACAGCGTGAAAGCTGTGATTCCTGTTGTTTTAGTTCATATCTCCACCCTTCCTGCTTCCTTCTCTGACTGTAGACTGAATGTGCTTGTTACATTTATTCACCTAAGTTTCTGTGAGAAAGTTTGTTTTTCACCTTACAAAGTTCTACTTGAAAATAAAGTAATTCAGTCTGTCGTTCTAAACTCAGTTCATATCTGTCAGTTTATTAACTGCATCATTAAAATGTCAGCACCTGGTCATGAACTCTGAATTAACTTCATTCACAGGTAATGTTAGTCTATTGGAACTTTTTAAGTGTGTTTTTAAACATGTTTGTCCAAAGAAAGGTCAGCAGCCTCTAAGTCAGCTAACATGTCATCAGTTTGTCCTTTGACTTTATTATGAAATAAAGTCTCATTTGTAGCAACAGTCTCTAGAATGATACCTGCAACTTTTGTGCAAGGTGTCATTCTAGAGACTGTTGCTACAAATGAGACTTTATTATGAAATAAACAGTGCGGATTATTAACACTGAGCAGGGCAGGGAACATGAGGCAGGGAAAACGCTGGTGTTGGACTGATTTTATGGGAATCCTCGTTTCCCCACTTTGCTGATCCACAGTGGGAGTGTCACGGGGTGGAAAGGGACAAGTTATTTAAGTTTTGCATGTTTTGTTGTTTTACCTTTTTAATATTTTAATATGAAGTGTATTTACTTAGTTTTTATATTGCATGTATTGGTCATGTTTTGTGCAGTGGTTATGTTGTTGCATGTTTTCGTTATACTGTCAAATTGTCCTGGAAAGACTCCGCCCCTACCTGATAGTAAACTGATCACACCTGCGAGAGATCCCAGAGAGGCCAATAAGAGGGCCTGGCAGACCATAAGCGGGAGGGGAGGAAAAGCTTGAGAGAAGGCTTGAGAGGAGGAGAGACATGGCATGGTAACCGGTGTGGGCAACGGCCGCGCAGAGCGGCACAGAGGCCCGGCTATAGGCAGCTGGCCAAGGCGTGCGGCAAAGGAGAACGAGACCAGAGATCGCGGACGACCGCGCACTGGAGGGAGTGATCGGAGCTGAGCGGAGAGGTCTGTGCTGGTGTTGACGGGAGGTAGCTCCTCGCCGAGAGAGGCCCACGGCAGGGGATAGAGAGGCAGCGGGATGGCGCCTTATGTCCCCGGGACGGCGAGTCTATGGCTACGCGTGTGAAGCACAACACAGTGGTGGGCGGAGTTAGGAGCTCTGCCCATCTGGGGTAAGTCCCGATTCATCCCGTCTAAGACGAACCTCCAGTGGAATTTAAGAATGGTGACTGCCGCTGGCCCTCTCTCCTTTTTCTAGTTGGCATCAGAATGAAGAGGCCGACAGGACGGCGACAATCCTGTTGGTTTCTGCACCGTTTGGACTTTTATATCGTGGCGGATGCCACTGGACTTTTAATGTTGTGTTTTATTGATTTTTATTGTGTTACCCCTTGGCCAAGGTTGTTTTAATTCATTTTGCATTTTTAACTATTTAAGTATAATAAATTATATTTTAATTATACAGTTTTTTAATCGTGTGCTTTCCCTTGGCGGCTCCACTGCTCTGTCCGTTTGGAGGAAGGTTTCCTTCCTTTAAAAAAACGATACTGTGGAAATAAAATCAGCTTTTCCGCTCCGTTACAGGAGCTAAACTGGAATTTTGCATACCTTGTGCTAAGCTAGCCTTTATATTTAATACTCTTGAAGACCTCAGATATGTATTTTCTCATCACACCAACAGGATTTCTAAATGTTGGGCTGTTCCTTTACCTGGCAGGAAAGCTGACCGTGCTACATTCAAAATGCCTTTCCTTCCATTTTACTTGACAATTTATAATCTGAAAATAAGTGAGCTTAAAAACTTTACGAAGCACAAACACTAGAACACGTTAGACGAGCTCATGTTATGTACACGTCAGCTTTGTATTTAATTTCACTGTATAAAGCTTTTCATCATGCTGTGTTCTTGAACTGTCACCAT